GAGAGAGAGAGAGAGAGAGAGAGAGAGAGAGAGAGAGAGAGAGAGAGAGAGAGAGAAAATTTTGGTCTATGATGCTTGAGCCTTGCCCTGGCAGTGAGACTGTCCCCCTGGGGATCTGCTTAGGCACAAGCTACATCCTGGAGGCCTGCACTCTGCATCTGGGTAGGAAATGCCTGGTGGAGAGCTCTGGGGCTGGGAAGAGAGCTTGGATTTTACTACAGGGAGAATCCATGGGGGAGAAGCAGCAGGGGCCCTGCCTTTGATTGATAGGTAGCTGGTGACCTCAGGGAAGTGCCTTTCAGCCAGGGACAGTCACTGGGTCTTTGGGGCTCCCTTTCCTCATCTACAAATGGGGCTAAGAATCCTGGGATTTCAGAGAGTAGCAGGAATGGGCTGAGGTAGTCCCTGTGCATGCTGGGACAGCGTCCTGCATACGAGTAGGATGCAAGTGTGACCATTGTATTTGTGCTCTGATGCCTCCTGGAGAGGGGGTCCTGGGCTTGAGAGGACCAGTCAGGGGGCTGCTCCTTCTGCTGGAAAGTGAGGCAGGGACATGGGAGACACAGATGGCACCAGTCAGCCCTGCTGCCCTGGTGACCTTAGAAGGCCATTGGTCCTGTGGGAGAGCCCAGTGGGGCAGGGAAGGCTGGTCAATGGGGGATATGTCCTAAGGTGACTGGCAGTGACAAAAGGGAAGAGATGAAGGCTCCCAGCAGCACTGAGGGGTGGGAGTGCGGGTGCTGAGATCCCAGGGAGGAGAGCACAGGGTGTATAGGGAGGGGCGGGTCCTTCAGATGGGGAGGTCAAGAGGGCTGCCTAGGGGAGAGGAAGGAGGAGCTAGGAGCCTGCAGGAGACCGAGGACTTTTTGCATGGGGTGTGAGCACAAGGCCTCTCTGCCCAGGTGGCGATCATATGCAAAGCTCAGTGCTACAGGGTGACTGTGAATGGTCAGCACCTGCTGGTATACGCCCACCGCCTGAAGGACCTGCGGACCATCAGTCACCTGGAAGTAGACGGCGATATTGTGCTTGCTGATGTACAGGTCTAGATGGGCTCAAGAGCTCAGTGAAGGGCTGGGGACATGGCTCTCTGTGCCTCCTGCCTGTTCTCTGCCCTTCTCAGTGTCAGCTTCTTTTTTTCTACGTGTGGTACCAGGGATTTAACTCTGGACCTTGCATTTTCCAGGCACATGCTCATGAGCCTTCCATGCAACAGCCCAGGCCCATACTGCATAAGTCCCTCAAACACCTTCCTATCTTCTACAACCCATGCTTGTCCCAAGCCCCAGCTATGCAATGGAGGGCTCAGGTGCCCTCCACAGCCCCCATTCCTGTGATCTTCACCTCTCCCTGGCTTTGCACCCTGATGCAACACTGCTACCTGTGGGGAGGCTGCCTGGTGACATCCCGCTGGCTTCCACCCACTGAGCAGAGCTTTCTCAGTACTGGGCACTGCCCCTTCCTGACATATTTAAAATAAAGAAAGAACAATGCTGTTGTTGGCATACACTTGTGAGATGAGTGCATTAGTAGTGTGTCTAGACACATGTTGGAGTCTGGATTTGGGGTTCCCTACCAAGTAAGTGGGATGGGACAGCACAGGTTCCCTTTGGGAATGAGGGACCTGTCACCCACACTGACTCCCAGGGGTCTCTCACAAATTGCACAGGGGTGCTGGAGAAAGCACCTGGGTTGTACATGCTGCTTGCCTGGGCTCTAATGCAGGAATATTGGTAGCTGGGTGAAGATGGGAAACACCTCCATGCTACTGAGAGGGGATAAGGCTGGGACACAGTGGGTGGGAGTTAGGAGAGAGCCAAGAAGCCTGGTGACCTGTGCTTAAGTGGGAGTGGGTCTCTGGGGGACCTGACATAAGGAGTAGGGGTGCAAGGGGTAAGTACCTCAGTACCAGGATCTGCTGATGTTAGGGAAGCATAACGGAGCCCAGGTAAGTGTCCGTGTGATGCCAGTCACCTGCTAACTCCTTGGAGAGCCTGGTCCCTCAGGAACCTGCTTAGGGCTCACAGTGTGGTCCTTGGGCAGCAGGAACCCAGGGAACTGCTTAGAATGTACAGTCTCAGGCCCACCCCAGGTCTACAAAGGAGAATCTTACTTTAGCCGGACCCAGGGGATTCTGCGTTTGTGTGTGTGTGTGTGTGTGTGTGTGTGTGTGTGTGTGTGCTTGTCTACGTGCAGGTGAGTAGCCCTGGTCTAGGCTGCTGAGGTCTTGGCCACAACGTTCAGACTCCTTTCTCCTAGCCTGGAGTCAAAGCTGTCCTGTGTTGCTGAGCCCATTCTGTGTCTCCCCATTGGAGCACCTGCTGCCCAAGCAGGATAACCAGGAGAGGCGAAGCCAGGGAAGGAGCTTGGGAGCAGAGGAACAATGTAGAGCCAGGCCAGCCTTGGCCAGATAGCCCGATCCCCCTCCTAGGTGCCTCTCAGGCGGGCCAGGATGCCGGGTTCCCTTCACCCTACAGGAGGCCACAACTGCCTTTCCCCAGTGCCAAGTCTCCATTGTCCAAACCTCACGAAATACATGGCAAGAGCAAAACCTATGGCCTAACTCTGTCCCTGTTTTTGCACAAGTACAATACTCCACATGTTGTCAGCTCAAAGAACACAGGGCCTGGCTGTTCTCTGTGGAGTGTTTCTTCCAGGTGCTGGTAGACCCTACTCTGTGTATGACTTGAGCAGCTCTTGCTACAAAAAGGGCGAGCACACACACACACACACACACACACACACATCATGGTTAACATAAAATGAGTTTTATGTAAATATTTCCATCAAGGAATTATACAGGGGAGCCTCAAGTGGCCTTTTCTCTAAAAACAGTGAAGAGTGTTTTTAATTCAGAAGCATAAATGCTGTTCTAGGGCAGCTAATCGCTGATGACATCAACGTCACCCCTGGTCAGTTTTCAAAGTAGGCATTTCTGGTGGCTTCTGTGTTCCTGTCATCCAGGTGCTGGCCTGATTTTGTCTTCATCTGCACGTGGCCAGGGAATGGAGGCTGAAGGCAGATCCAGCCAGGGTAGGACTTTGCTTGTCAGTCAAATGGAGAAGCACATGGGCTGCATTATGGGACTGGCTGTGGCCACGTTAATCCCTCTCCAAGGCCCTGAGGCCTTGGTCCAGAGCTGCCTTCATCCCCAGCATGCTCAACACCAGCAGCTTCGTCTTCCCTGTGGGTCCCCAGATCTGACTGTCGCCTGTGGCTGCTCTGTCAGGTCCTTGTTCGCCTCTGAGGGAAGGATGGAACCAAAGGTCTTCCTGACAGCCCTTCTGGCTCTTAAGGGGAACAGAGGCCAGGAGTCAGCTCTGAGGTTCTCAGGTGGTGCCTGGGTTACACCACTAAGGACCTGAGCCCCAGGTGAGAAAGCTGTTTTCCTGTCAAGGATCTCTGCAGCTCCCTGGTGACCTGGAGAAGAAAGGATCTGGTTGGCCACACCCATCCAGGCATTGGGGTCCTCCCTCCCCTGGGAGAGGCACCCTCAGCCTCTGGCTGTGGCCAACAGCACTACCCATGGGGCATTTCCTAGCTCTTCCCCTCCCTTCTCATTGTTGTAAATGTATGTTTGAAAAACTGTCCCTTGGCCAGGTCTGTGTCCATTCCCAGGCACTAAGCACATTCAAGCTGCTGTTCCCATCTCCTGCAAGCATCCCCATATCCTTTCCCATATTCCCCCTAGAGGAGCTGGATCCACTCAACATGCTCCCTTTTCCCTCTCTCATGGGATATGCCATACTTTTTGTGCTGACTTTTTCAACTCATAGCTTTTGAACGATTATTATTTTGTTTTTTTTTAACATTTTAAAAAGGTCTTTTATTTATTTACTTGGCACAGAGTCTCACTATGCAGCTCAGACTCGTAGTGATCCTTCTATCTCAGCCTGCCTAATGCTGGGATTTGAGGTGTGTACCACCACTTCCAATTTTTGTAGCTGGCATGGCACACCCGGGCTTCCTGGGCCAGCTCAGCATGTAGTACTAGGGATCAAACCTGAGTTCTTGCACTTGTGAGGCTAGAGCTTAGACTGCTAAGCTATCTTGCTAGCTGATGCAAGGATTATTATTATTATTATTATTATTATTATTATTATTATTATTTCTGTATTTTGTACAGGGTGTACAGGGTCTTACTACACAGATCACACTGGTAGTGGTCTTCCTGTTTTTACTCTCCCAAGGGCTGGAATAACAGGTGCACCCCACCATGCCCAGTTTCAATCGCCATCAGGCGCACCCCTAGGACAAAGTTGTCAGGGCGTGCTGGGAATCGAACCCTGGTCCCTGAGTTGCCTGTGCAGGTGATTTAATTGGCTGAGCTACCCAGCTGGCCCTTGAAGGATTATTTTTAATGATGTGGTCATTATGTATATTTCCTGGTCATCTTCTTGGTAAAAGAAATGACAATGATTTTCAACTAACAGAGGTTCACAATGCCTTTTTGGAGACTGTCGCCTGTCTGCCACTACTGTGAAGCTGGGAGAACGAGGGATCTCTGGTTCCAGCCTACCACATTGTCATGGGAAACGACCTTTTGCTGTGCACATATGTGCTGGAGTTCAGCAGGTGAGGTTCCTGATCACATTTTCAATTTTATAGCATTGTCACCCTGGGATGGGTTTCTCAGGGTGTGACCCATTGTACTTGAAGACCACCTGTGCTTTTAAAAACGTTCACAGCCCTAGTCCTTCAGATTTATCTCAGAGGGGATCAGCTCTGATGCCATGCATTGATGCTGGGGAGGAAGCTGTGTCCCCGAGCTTCTCACAGAGGATGCTTGCAATAGGACTGGGATGGTGAGAGCTCCTCAGGGACCATGCAGGTCTGACTTTCTCTCCTCCTCTGGACAGAAAGCATGCAACCCCAGCAAGCAGCTGCCCCCGTTTGCTCTGTGGACCAGTAGATCAAAGTGAATTTCGTCGATCACACGCTCTGTACGAGGTCCAGTTTTCAGTGCTGTTAATCCTGCTACGGCTCTGCCAGGGTGGTGCTGTTAGCATGGTTTTACACAGGGGCAAAGCAACAGGTACACTACACGTGAAGCCATGTCAAGACCCCGCCAGCAGCACTGTCACAAAATGGGTAAGAGTCGGATGTTCAGTAAGGCTCAGGGCCTCGGGCTGGGGACGGGATCAGCAGAGCAGTCGTGCCCCACAAGCACAAGGTCCAGAGTTCAATCCTAGCACTGTGCACAGAACAGAATGTAGAAGCCGGGGTAGCCAGGCAGCAGGGGAGGAAGAGGTTTGGGCCTCAAGAGGATCCAAGCCATATGCTTCACTGTGCAGCCGAAGCTGCAGGGAGTCCGGAGGGAGACAGGGTCTGATACCACCTGCAGCAGGGCTGTGAGCACTCAGTACCCAGGGAAGGCACAAAGCTTGATGTCTTTTGCCCCCTGGGGTCTCACTCAGCTCTTCCAGGAACACCAGGGCAGTCCCCAGGAAGTGGAGCACTCAGTGTCCATGGAGACCCCGTGACTTCCACTCTCCTCTCCAGTGTGGATGGCAGATTCTGACCTCACACTGGTGGAAGCAGTTTGAAGCCTGGGGGTTCCTTGCTTCTGCAGTTTCTGGGCCTTGATATGAATAATTTTTCTGAGCTGTTACTGTGGGACATTTGTTGTATTTCTGGTTCTTGAAGCTTTGGGAAAGTCCTTATATATTTCTGAAAGTTTATTTCTCCACGAGCCCATCCTGAGAGTGTCATGGGCTCTTCATTAAACAGTCATGCCTGTGCCCTAAGACTCAGATCCACTGTACAGCATCTTTCCCTTCAGCCTTAACTTGATGATCCCAAATTTAGAGCAGGCATCCTCCTGGAGTTTCTTTGTTCATTAAAACAAAAAGTGGCTGGCGTGTGCCCAGGTCTGCAGTCCCAGCGCTTGGGAAGCTGTCTCCGTAGCTCTGCTGTGTCAGCCACCTCCAGGGAGGTCGCATCTGGACTGTCCCCACCTCCCCTCATGCCCTAGCCTAGTGGTCTCTGCTGGATATTACAGGAAATCACCCCCCCCCCCCGCATGTGTGTGCACTCACACACAGCAGAACTGTTGGATGAGACAGCTCTTTGAGGACTGATAGACTGTGTTTGTGACACTCACTGGTTTATGACACCGGACAGTTGAGAGTCTGCAGAGCCCTGGGTGCACCTCACTCCACTGTATCAGGGTGTTCCTAGTATTGAAGCTGACCTTGTCCAACCCAGTTGAAGTTCTTCATTACAGAAAACAGGAAGTCGTGGGACACA